ATGTACATATCCTCAACGAAGAAAACCATAGGGCTTTATGCAGACATAGGAGAAGATATGAAGGGTAGTGAGATATTCCTGTTCTTTGCTGGGAAGATCTAATGCTATACAGAGGTGTCAGTCTTCCCTAATCCATGGAGTCACTAGGCAGCAATCAATTTTGGAAATAACCTGACAAAAATGATCCTGAACTTCATCTAGAAAGGATATGTGGGATTAGCCAAGAAGTTTCAGAAATGAAAACTAATGAGGAAAGACTAACCTTGCATGGTATTAAATCATGTTATAAAGTTTCAGTAATTAAAACAGTTCAATACTGATGCAAGAATAAACAGATTATCAGAATAGAGACTCCTTAAATATACCCATATAATGTAGGAAATTAGTATATGATGAAGGCTGAATTTGAAACCAAGGTGAAAAGGTGTATTAAACAATAAACGGCGTTGGGATAATTTATTTGGGATGGAGAAAGAAGGGAAGAAATCTGTCCAGATCCCCAATTCACTCCTAATCCCCAAAAATATTATTACTCAAAAATGTAAGTGTTTAGAGCATTTATATTGGTAGAACCAGAGGAAGGCTAGTCTTTTTGTTGCTGTTGTCTTCGTATGCACAAGTGTAGAAGCAAAAGTTATCTCAGTGTGTAGTGCTGAAATACAGTAACGTAAATTCTAATAATCCTTTGTGTTTTTCAATATGCCATATCTCAGCCCATGGAAACCATCTAGCAAAATTGGTGGACAGCTCTTGCTTATCCCATTTTAAGAAGGAGATGATAAGAGCCTTGATGAGTGACTTGCTCAAGGTCACACTCCTAATTAGAGGCAGAACCAGAGCTAGGACCAAGGTCCCCTAACTTGCAGCCTGAGAATCTCTCTTTGTAGGAGATGCATTCATCTCGTTTTGATGCATTTGATATGTTTGTGAAACCAGACATACCAGAATGTGCAAGTTACTTTCCAATGTGCTGTGCAGTTGTGCCCACGCTATCCTTTCACCACTCTGGTTACTGTCCCACCACCGTAACCCCTGCCAACCCGCATTCCACTGACTCCAGATCCTGGAACACCACGCACTCTGCCTTTTCTGCTTCATAAAGTCTTATAACTCAGCAGTCCCAGCCCACCACATACTCACTCTCTCCATCTACAAAGTGTCCGTGAGCACCTCCTCCTTGTAGTCCTTCTCCATCCATCCTATCTCCCCTCCAGTTTCTGTTCAAGCTTCTCTCTCCTTACATGTCCAGTTCTATGAACAGTATCACACACCTCAACCAACCTCCACTTTCTGTTAATAATCTAGACCAACGCAGTCCAACAGAAACATAATGGAAGACAGATGCAAACCACATATGCAATGTTATGTTCTCTAGTAGCCACATCTAAAAAAATGAAGAGAAACTGGTGAAACTATTTTTAATAACATATTTTATTTAACTCAATATATCCAAAATATTATTTCAATATATAATCAATATAAAAATTATTAATGAGATATTTTAAATTCTTTTTTTTATATAAATATTTGAAATCTGGTGTGTTTTTTATACTCACAACATATCACAATTCAGACTAGCCACATTTCAAGTGCTCAATCCCCACATGTGGCTGCTGGCTAGTGGCTACTGAATTGGATAGCACAGACCTAGGCTCTCACTCCAATGAAAATGATCCCAAACTATCATAATGACTGATCATTGCTGGATAAAGGGATCATGGGTGATTTTTAAAAAATAACTTTGGAGCCAGCCCTGATGGCCTAGTAGTTAAAGTCTGGTGAACTCCGCTTCGGTGGCCTGGGTTTGGTTCCCAAGCCTAGAAGCACACCACTCATCTGTCAGTAGCCATGTTGCGGCAGTGGCTCACATAGAAGAACTAAAAGGACCTACAACTAGAACATACAACTATGTACTGGGGCTTTGGGAAGGAAAAAAAAGAGAGGAAGATTGGCAACAGATGTTAGCTCAGGGCAAATCTTTCCCAGCAAAAACAATAATAATAATAATAACTTTGGCTTATCTGTATTTTTTATTGTTCTCCAATAAACACAAATTGCATGTGTTTATTTTAAAAACTTGTGATTTTAAATATCTTTGGCATAGCAGGGGAATTTAAATGAATGAATGTTCACATTCATGCTCTAATGCAAGTTATTTTTTTTAAATGGCACACGTGGCATCAGCATGTCTTTGCTTCGACATATCTACCCATATCTAGCTCCTATCTGCTTCACCGTCTCAAACTATTCTCCTTGTTCCCTGCAACCTGCCCACTTTCTCCTTCTGCAGATGACTGGGTTGAAGGTACAGAATGCCCGGAAGAAATATTTTCCATATCTTCACCACCTCTGCACAAACACCAACCCATACACAATTTCTAGTTCTGTTTTAGTAGATCTGAGATTACTGATATGACTCAGAGAATTCAAATTCAAATTCTAGAAAAAGCCTCTGTCTTCAGTGCTGCTTCAAAGTTATTTTAAAATAGGCTTGATATTTACTTTTACTTAAAATTAGATACATTCAAAAGCTATTATATGTCCCACATTGGTTTCTTTTAAAAAGAAATTGACCTAATGGTTCTCCACAAACAGGAGCAACTCATTTTTTAACCAGTAAATACACTTCTCACCTCAAAGATTTTGACTAAAATTATGTTTTTGGTGCTTAAATATAGAAGCAGTCTAGTCACTGGGAAATGGGAAGGAGGTGGACACAGCTTAAGAAGTTAAATGGGCTTGAATCAGGAAACTAAGGTGTAGTCACTTTAAATACCTATAGATTTTAAAATTCATGTCACAGTTTGGTTTCGAGCTGCTCTAAGTGTTTGCCCATCCTAATAATGACAGGTTTGCCCTTTTCCCCCAGGCTTTGAAAGGTGGCATGTGGAACCCTGAAATGGGGAGTTCTAAGACCTGGATTTCGGTCCTCACTGCCAGATGCCAACCAGCTATATGACCTTGGATGCAGTCCATTCAACCTGCTGGATTCAGCCTCCTGGGCTGTAAAAAGGGGGCTGACAGCAGACAACCTCTCTCAGGCTGCTTCCGGCTCACCATTCCTGACCTTTGTGCTAATCTTCCTCCATTCCATTATCCCTGAAACACTTGCCTCCTCATGCAACTCCTCCTCCCTAAATGAGAAGATGGCTGGCAGCACAGCAGTGAAAGGAGAAAGAAAGGCTGTTTAAAAAAAAATCCTAAAATGAGTCACCTTTCAAGAATTTACCATTCTCTGGTGCCTGGATGCTTGCTCATGGTGCTAAATCAGTGCTTCTAAGGAAACTTGCTCTAAGAACCTGGTATTTGTTATATGTACTGTTCTTGGATGATGTTTACACTAGATACTCATCTCTTAAGAGCCACTTGTAGGTACAAAACACAGAAGTTACGTATGAAAGAGACATCAACAGCCACATAAATCGATTTTAGGGGAGCCTGGAGAAAATCAGACCAAAATCACAGCGAGTTTTAATTAGGTCTTTACATCAGCTTTTGATAAGTTACCGAAGATAATTACAGCTACCCAAACTTCCCACTTAACCTCCCCAGGACCCTGCAGCACCCTGTAATCGAGCCTGACGCAAGAATCACTCCCTACCCCTTAGGGCTGGCTGCAACCACACCCAGGAGAGCCTTCCCTCCCCATAGATTGCCTCACCAAGGCTTAAGTCAGGGGGCAGCGGATGTTAGCTGTGGTCGGTGCTGCTTCAGCCTGGCCTGATTTTTCACGCTGCCATTTTGAATTAACATAGGTTTCCTTGCAACTGATGCATCTTCTGGTCAGGCTTGGAACCCAGTAGGCACACACACACACACACACACACACACACCACCGGGAAGCTGGACACAAGTGTAATTCAAGACACTTGCAAGCCAGAATTAAACAGCAAATCCAAAAAGACCTTATTATTTAGCAGAACCCTACTAAGGCAGTTTTGGGTCACAGCAAATGACAGCTTCCTTAAATGCACTTGGGTTTAATGGTCATTTTTAACCCCTAAATCCGAGTTCCTGTCAATTCTCTAAAGTTCAAGCGTCCCTCCTGCTTTGCAGACCACACTCGTCTCAGACCTCACCAGTGATGTCGCCAAATAATCGGAGCCCCGACAGACAAGCGAACCGAGGACGCAAAGGCAAACTGAAGTGGATAATCATCTCAAATACATGAGTGCCTTTTACCAAGAAGTGCCCCGGCGCCATGGCGTTAACATGCCCTGACACTCCCCCACCCCAAGAATCGTCCCGGGTGTGGCTTGGGGGGAAGTTGTGTCAAGTCCTGCGGCTCGCGTAGACCAGAGCTACAGCCCGTACGTTTGCCCTTAACTGGAGGGCAGTCCACCGGACACGATTCGGCGATCGCGGACCCGGTGGACGCTGGGGCAGAGCCGGGCCAAGGGCCGCAGGCCCCTCCAGGCAGCCATGTTCGCGCGAGCCCACCCGCGGGGCAGGTGCCTTACCTCCCGGGAAAGTGCCAGGCCCGCTCCGCCACCGGCGCTGCGCCCCAGCGAGCCCCGAACCCCGGGAGCGGCCCGAGGGGTGTCGGGGGTGGAGGGCGCACAAGGTACACACCCCAGCGGGGCAGCAGCTGGGATATCAGGAAACCGAAACACAGGAAAAGCAGCTTGAGAGGTTATGCGAGTTAAAGGGAGGTGGGAAGATGGATGGGGTTGGGGTGCGGAGAGCAGAGAGAGGTTCCAACCAGGCTGCAGTGCCCGTGCCCCGGGATGGGGCGTCCCTCTCCTGCGCTCCCGCAGCCTACGAGCCCAAGTCACCCCTAACCCTGAGCCAAGGCCACCTCTCCCCTGATCCCCCAGGGACCGTAACCCGCCGGAGCCTGCACCCGCGGGTTTTGGCCCCAGGTAGCGGTACCTGCGGGTTCGGAGGGACAGCAGGAGGCGACGAGGCACGGGGGACGGCGATGGCGGATCCGGGTGAAACCCGCGCGGGGAAGCGGCTGCAGACGCCCTGCGCTCCCAGTCGTGACCGCCGGGGCTCACCTGCGGGGTGGTGGGCTCCGGGCTCGGCCCTGCGGTGCTGATGCTGCGGCCGCTGAGGGTGCGGGTGCGGGTGCTGCTGCGGTCGCGATCACTGCGGCGACATCGGGGGCTGCAGCTGCAGTGGCGGAGGCGGCCGTCCGGCGCTTCCCCCTCCCCAGACTCCTGGCGCTCGCGCCCGCCGCCCTCCGCTAACAGCTGGCCCGGCTCACGTGACCGCGGGGCCCACGCCCGCCTCTCCCCACCCCGGGCCCCCGGGCCGCGCCGCACCCGCCGCGTCTGGGGCGACGGGGCCGCAGCGCCGCGCTCGGCCTGGTAGGGGAGGGCGCCTGGGAGCAGGAGGAGCGGCCGAGAGGCGAATCTCGCTGCAGAAAGTGGCTCCCCTCTTTGCTGGATTTTTATTTCTTGGTCTCAGCCCTGGTAGTTGTTCTCGAAAAGGAGAACTGGGGCTTTAAGGATCCGGGCCCCACTTCCTCGGGGCGCTCCTCCCGGACTCCGCGGTTTGGTTGCTACGTGCGGGCCTCCGTGTCTAAGCAAAATTTCCCCGCGGAGAAACGTGTCCTGTAGTTTGTTGACTCACATGTCCAAGCCAACTCCTTGGTTTTAAAGGTGCTGTCCTGCGCCATGTTGATAAGCCAGACTCTATGCCAGATACTTGGGCATTGAAGCCCAAAGAGATTAAGTAATTTGCCCAAGATCGCACAGCAGGTAGCAAAGCCAAGATTCCATACCTGGGTTAGTAAATCCACAGACAAGTGACAGGTGTGTTGATGCTGGTGTCAAGGTCATTGGTCAGGACATGACCATCCGTCATGTCCTTTTTATAAATTAATAAGAAAAGACCATCTCAAAGGATATGAAGGGATAGTTCACAGCAAAACAAATGCAATACCACTCAGGCTCATGAAAAGATATTCAAGCTCCCTTAAATGCAAATTAAATATACAAGGTAGCATTTTCCACCTGTCAGATTAGCAAAAATCAAAAAGTTTTATATCCTCCATGGAGGACAATTTGGCCATATCTCCCAAAATAACAAATATATACTTAGTCTTTGACCCAAGGATTCCACTTCTGGAATTTATCCTACAGATACACTGACACGTGTGAAATGATATGAGTACAAGGTCATCCATCGCTACATTGGTTGTGCTAGCAAAGATTGGAAGCAAATGTCCATCAACAGACGATTATTCAAATAAATGACAGCACATCAATACAATGGAATGCTATCCAGCTATAAAAAAAAAAAATGAAGATCTACCTCTGTTTACTGATATGAAAGATTTCCAACCTGTACTAAGTGTGTGTGGGGAACCATGTGCAGAAAATTGTGCAAATGTGTTGTTTGTGGGAAGGAAAAAAATGCCTGTACTCATATTCGCAAATGCATAGAATATATCTTGGAAGGATACATAAGAAATTGTACAAGTAGATGCCACCAGGGAGGAGAATGGGGTGACTGAATGCAGGGGAGGGAAGGAGACTTTTTCCCCGTGTCTTTTGAATGTTATGCCTGTGCTTGTGGTTTGCCACACAAGTGAATGGATAGTGGGAGAGGGCTGAGGGAATCAGTGCGGATACCACAAAATAGAGCAGTGGTCATAGATTCTTGGAGCAATAAGGGGCCTCATTGTGCGTTTAGTCCAACAAAGGAAACTGTCCTTTTACTTTTAACCTGTCTCTTTGTATTATAGTGGTCTTTTTGTTTTTTGGTTTTTTAGATAGAATATAATTGGACCTTGCTTTTCATTCAATCAGACACTCTCTGCCTTTTAATTGGAGCGTTTGGATCAGTGGCTGTTAAAAAGGGGCAATTTTACCCCACAGGGACATTTGGCAATGTCTGGAGACATTTTTGCTTGTTGCAATGACAGAGGTGGGGAAGGTCTATACTGGCGTCTAGTGCACAGAGGCCAGGGATGCTATTAAACATCCTATGATGCAAAGCACAGCCCCCACAACCAAGAATTATCTGGCCCTAAATGTCAATAGCCCTGAGGTTGAGAAACTCTGGTTTAGACCATTTATATTTAATGTAAGTATCAATATGAAGGGTTTTAAATGTAACATCTTGCTGCTTCTGTTTGTTCCATCTGTTCTTTGTTCTTTTTTTCTCTTTGTTTGTTTGTTTGTTTGTTTGTGAGGAAGATCAGCCCTGAGCTAACATCCATGCTAATCCTCCTCTTTTTGCTGAGGAAGACCAGCTCTGAGCTAACATCTATTGCCAATCCTCCTCCAATCCTCCTCCTTTTTTCCCCAAAGCCCCAGTAGATAGTTGTATGTCATAGTTGCACATCCTTCTAGTTGCTGTATGTGGGATGCCGCCTCAGCATGGCCTGACAAGCAGTGTGTTGGTGGGTGCCCAGGATCCTAACCTGGGCGGCCAATAGCGGAGTGCACGCACTTAACTGCTAAGCCACAGGGCCGGCCCCTTTTTCTCTCTTTTTGCTCTTTACTTGCCTTCTTTCAAAGAATTGAGTATTTTTTAAATATTCCATTTTATATCCACTTTTGATTTATTCATTATACTGCTTGTTTTATTTTTTGATTACTCTAGGATTTACAATATATATGCATCTTAAATTTATCATTGTCTGCCTTCAAATAATATAATTTCAGGTATAATGCAAAACATTTTCAACAGCACACTTCTATTTCCAGCCCCATCTTTACTATTTACAGTGACTACTGCTGTCATTTGTTGTAGGTGCAGATTTGATGGTAGTGAACTCCCTTAGGTTTTGTCTGAAAAAGTCTTACTTTACGTTCATTTTTGAAACGTTTTTGTTGGATACATTTTTGGTTGAGAGTTTCTTTTCTTTTGGCACTTGAAAGGTACCATTCTATTGTCATAAGACATTGTCACAATACTTGCAAAGTTTCTGAAGAAAAGTCTATGTTTGATTTTCTTCATCTGTACGTAGTATTTTTTTCCTACGGCCACTTTTAAGAGTTTTCTCATTAACATGGGTTTTGAGCAATATGATTATGATGCACCTTGGTCTGTTTTATTTTTTTACTTTGTTTATTCCATTGGGGCTCATTGAGCTTCTTGGATCTGTAGGTTTATAGTTTTCATCAAATTAAGAAAATTTTGGGCCATTATTTCTTCAAATATTTTACCCATTATACTCTGCTCCTCCCAAGTTCAAGGACTCCAATTATACATGTATTATACTGCTTGATATTGCCCCACAGATCACTGAGGTTCTGTTCTTCCCCCTCCACACGCACAGCCTTTTTTCACTCTGTGCTTCATTTTAAATAATTTCTCTTAGTATTTCTTCTAGTTTACTTATCTTTTCTTCTGTAGTCTCTAATCTACTGTTATCTAATTGACTGTTAATACTATTGAATTTTTTTTTTGTGAGGAAGATCAGCCCTGAGCTAACATCCAATGCCAATCTTCCTCTTTTTTTTTTTTTTTTTTGCTGAGGAAGATTGGCCCTGGGCTAACATCCATGCCCATCTTCCTCTACTTTATATGGATGCCACCACAGCATGGCTTGACAAGCAGTGCTTCAGTGCGTGCCCGGGATCCGAACCTGCAAACTCCAGGCCGCCAAAGAGGAGCACGCGCACTTAACCGCTTGTGCCACAGGGCCAGCCCCACTATCAGTGAAATTTTTATACCAGATATTTTATTTTTCATCTCTTGAATTTCTATTTGGTTCTTTTTATGTCATCCATTTCTCTCCTATATGTTTTCCTTTAAATCTCTGATCATATTTATATTTTAATAGCTGTTTTAAAGTCCTTATAAGCTAATTCTATCATTTCTGTCAATTTTTGTCTATTTGTATTGATTGCTTCTTTGTCTCTCTTGTAATTTTTCATCAGATGCCAGACTTTGTGAATTTTCTGCTGTTGAGTGAAGGATTTTTTTGTATTCCTTTAAAGGTGGTTGGACTTCGTTCTGGCAGTCAGTTACTTAAGAATCAGCTTGACTCATTTGAGGCTTGTTTATAAACTCTTTAGGACAGCCCTAGGATAGCTTTAACTCGATGGCTACTTTAGCCTTTCTGCTAAGGTATGACTCACCTGTGGGCTCCAATGAATGTTCCATGTAATCAGTAAGGTAATTCCGACTGGTAGGAACTTGAACAGTTCCCAGTTTTGTGTGAGCTCTGGGAACTTTTTGGTGTACAGCTCCTTGGTAGTTGTTCTTTGCTGAGGTGTTGTTCTTTGCCCAACTTTGTGGAGATTCACCATATGCATGCACAGAATGGTATTCAGTCAACGACTCAAGGGAAACTTTATGCAAATTTCTGAAGCTCTTTCCCATTTAGTTTTCTCTTCTCCAGAGCTCTGGCCCACAAACTCTACTTCTGTGACCTCCTTGAATTCTTTTTTTTTCTTTTTTTGTGAGGAAGACCAGCCCTGAGCTAACATCCAATGCCAATCCTCCTCTTTTTTGCTGAGGAAGACTGGCCCTGGGCTAACATCCATGCCCATCTTCCTCTACTTTATATGGGATGCCACCACAGCATGGCTTAAGAAGCAGTGCATCGGTGCATGCCAGGATCCGAACCAGCGAACCTGGGCCGCCGCAGCAGCGGAGCGCGCGCACTTAACTGCTTGCGCCACGGAGCAGCCCCGACCTCCTTGAATTCTGATCTCTGTTTCCTCAACCCCACAAGTAGAATGGGCTCTGTTTTGTTTCCCTTCTCTTTGCCATGTATGGTTCAGGAATTGCCTCCCAGCAGAAAGCTGGGATAATTGTGGTCTCATCTCGCTTGTTTCCTTTCTCTTAAGAATCACATTCCTACTCTGCTTGTTGTCCAGTGTCTGACAAAAGTTGTTTCATATATTTTGCCCAGTTTTCTAGTTGTTCGCAAGAGGACAGCAAGTCCCATAGCAAGTTTTCCTTCATGGGCGGATGTGGAAGTCTGAGAACACTAATCTTAATGCCTCTAAGGAATCAAATGTCATGATACAGAATCAACTAGACCCATCATTTTAAGAACTACAAATGCATGGTTTACTTATAGCACTTCTTCAATATACTAATTTAATAAGAAACATTTATTGAACACCTGTACCAGGAATTGCACTATTGCTACAAAGATGAAAAAGGCATATGATAGCTCCTCCTCTCAAGAAGTTAGAGGCAAGCAAGGAAACTAATGAGGCATAGAGGTAATGTGTGC